ATTCTGTCTGCAGACAGCTGAGGACATGATATTTGAAAATGTTTACATTCTTATATACGCATAATGCACATCTACTGGCCTGTCCAGACAATATGAACAGGCAGTTGTGTTCACACAAAAGTGCAAAGTACACTTGAATCGAAGTGTGAAGGGAAACCCATCAACTTGTTTCAGAATTTGTCATAGGCAGTGACAAAAAATAGCAATTCACTGTATACACCCATTGGCTTCAGAACCTGTTTTTAAATGAGGGAAAGATAATTCATGTGTCCAGACACAGATCATCTGCTGTTCTTTTCACAAAGTGTGGTAAGATCTCTAAAATGCATTTGACCAGCCAGCAGGCAGAAGTAACCTGGATCCTTTGTTACGTCCAAGGGATAGAGTTCCATCAGGACCAAATTCCTAGAAGCCTGTGGGAGTTTTGCTTGTTTGGTTTGGTTTCTTGTTAATACCAGGATTGCAGCTTTTAGGGTGTTGAATTTGAGCCTTTAGTCCATAGACATGAGGATGCAGTAGCACATGGTTCACCTACAGAGAAGCAAGAGTAGACTAAGGTGAGCAGTGTGACGTGGAGGGAGCTGGCATTTTCTCTTGGGAATAAACCTCAGTCATTCAGTAACGTACTTCATGAATCGTCCATTATCTAACATTAGTATCAACTCATATCCCAAATCTTGTCTGCCTTTGGCTTTTGTACTTCTGCTTATCAGGGTACTTACTTCACTCCCTGAGTTTTTTTACGGGACAGTAAGGAACCTTGTGCTTATCTTTTATCTCTTGGGCAGTGTTGCACTGTTTATTTTCAACTGTATCAAGGTGAATGCTTGGAAAAAAAAATTGATTAATTAATATATGCAGTTGATACAACCAGTTTCTCACAAAAATGCTGCGCAGGCACCTGGAGTGCAGCCCTCAAACTTAAATTGGAGGAATTATTTATCACTGTTCCTTTTACTTCTTTGTAACTGTGTCATTCATGTTTGTGAATTCCACTGAGTCTTTAAACACTCAGCTGAGGCTTTCGGTAAGGGATATAGAATCATAGAATCATAAAATGGTTAGGGTTGGAAGGGACCTCAAAGATCATCTAGTTCCAGCCCCCCTGCCATGGACAGGGACACTCTCCATTACACCAGGTTGCCTAACACCTCATCCAACCTGGCCTTGAACACTTCCAGGGATGGGGCATCTACAACTTCTCTGGGCAACCTGTTCCAGTGACTCACCACCCTCACAGTGAAAAATAAATCTGACCTCTTTCAGTTTAAATCCATTGCCCCTTGTCCTATCACTACACGCCCTTGTAAAAAGTCCCTCTCCAGCTTTCCTGTAGGCCCCCTTCAGGTACTGGAAGGCTGCAATAAGATCACCCGGGAGCCTTCTCTTCTCCAGGCTGAACAGCCCCAACACTTTCAGCCTCTCTTCAGAGGAGAGGTGCTCCAGCCCTCTGATCATCTTCATGGCCCTCCTCTGGACTCGCTCCAGCAGCTCTGTGTCCTTCTTGTGTTGGGGACTCCAGAGCTGAACGCAATATTCCAGATGGGGTCTCATGAGAGCAGAGCAGAGGGGCAGAATCACCTCCCTCGACCTGCTGGCCACGCTTCTTTGGATGCAGCCCAGAATACGGTTGGCTTTCTGGGCTGCCAATGCACATTGCTGGCTCATGTTGAGCTTCTCATCCACCAGCACTCCCAAATCCTTTTCCTCAAGGCTGCTCTCAATCCATTCTCTGCCCAGCCTGTACTTGTGCTTTGGATTGCCCCGACCCACGTGCAGGACCTTGCACCTGGCCTTGTTGAACTTCATGAGGTTCTCACAGGCCCATCTCTCCAGCCTGTCAAGGTCCCTCTGGATGGCATCCCTTCCCTCCAGCGTGTCCACAATATCACACAACTTGGTGTCATCTGCAGACTTGCTGAGGGTGCACTCGATCCCACTGTCAATGTCGCTGACAAAGATGTTAAATAGCACTGGCCCCAGTACTGACTCCTGAGGAACACCAGTCTTTACTGGCCTCTGCTTGGACGTGGAACCGTTGACCACAACTCTTTGAGTGCGACCATCCAGCCAATTCCTTATCCACTAAGTGGTCCATCCATCAAAACCATGTCTCTCCAGTTTAGAGACAAGGATGTCGTGTGGGACAGTATCAAATGCTGTGATAATGCTGGCTGCAGAGCTCATTGTATGAGCGCTGTGGTTTCTCTCTCCTCAAGAGCTAGATAGAAATCACTGTTGCTGCATTTTCTCTGTAGGATTTTTGTCCAGCAGTTGGAAGTTGAGACCCTGATCATCCAGCAAGGCACTTTCTAAGTGCTTATTATAGAGAATATTCTGACTCTCTGTTAATATATTATTTATATATGTATCATGCAGCCAAAATTTACTCATATATCAGGAGCTCAGTCATATTGCTTTATCATGTATCGGGAGCTCAGTCATATTGCTTTATTACTCAAATAGCATAATGTATGGAGTGAAGATGGATCTGCCATGGCTAGTACTTGATCCTGTGCATACTGTGTAATATTGCTCATCTTTTCAAAAGAGAAAAGCCTTCTATAACCCTTAAAAAGTAATGAAAAGCTTCATCTAACCTTCATTCCACACCTGTCCCATTGTTTTCTTTTTCCATCTCCTCTTTAATCTTCACTTTCTCTCATGTTTCTGTGTGCATAGTTTAAGACTAGCCCAGTTTATTTAGATTGTAAGCATGTCATGGCAGAGCAGAGACTGGTATCTGTTATGTGCAAATATAATGCCTAGTAGATAGAACTTGACTTTTCTTTGGTTGCTGGGCATTGCAGTCCAGGTAGCTTTGTGTCTGTGTTAATAGTCCTGGAATAGTGGGCAGCAACGTGCATGATCTCCTGCATCGTTCCTTAGCAATCATATAGGTCTGTCTAAGCCCGAACTTCTAGGTCTGACTGAGTTTGAGCAGGATCCATGAGGTATGTTCGTAGAGGTTCCTGTGCACTTCGAAATTTAAAATCAGAGCTGGCCTGGACTTGGTATTGCCAAGCAGTGCTATACTTCAGCCACTGAACTCAAGGTCACTCTTCCTAAAGCCAGCTCAGTGTACCGGTTAATCCACAACTTTGACAAAATGCCCAAGGGTAGTGACAAACTGACTGTATTTACATCTATTTTAGGGATCGGAATCCTACCTAAGTGACTCTGTGATAATAATGATTCATGACATGAGGATGCTTTACAGAAAGGAAAGGACCAGTAAAGGCAGGGTATAAAGGAGGGCACCTGTCGTACAGGAATTGCCTGGGAGCTGCAGCAGTGAGGATGGTGTTAGGATTTTCAGTGTCAGTCAATTAATTTTGATATCTGAAACACCAAACTCTTAAAAACAAAATTAAAGAAGTGTTCAGTTTGGAGTTTTGCACACATGGATCATAGCCAGAGAGTCTTGTTTGGTTTTTTTTGTTGTTGTTGTTACCTTTTGGCAGGAAATGGTGAAGAGAATTAAGCAAATGGTTTTCTGAGCCTTTTAATATTTTAAAAAAAATATTTAAAAACTTCACTGTGTTTTATTTATAAGTCCTTCATGAGTTATAAGAAATACAGCTATACATGATAAGTTAGATGCTTTTTTTTTTGGATGTTAGGAGCTAATTTTTTAAAAAATTAAGTTAAAATCTCTGTGTGCTTTATGTGAGTTCATTATGACCCATGAGCCAGCAATCTTTATGAAGTTCAGTTGTCTAGGCTGATGGAAGAATATGCTTCTAAAGCTTGAAATTCCCTAGCGCTTTTACAGTTGTCATTTAATTAAATGTAGAGATCTCACCAGCAGTCTATGAAATACCTGTCAGCAGAACAGTGTGCTTTTAAGAAATGAGAGTTATCAGCAAAGTTTTGAACAGGAATTTGTGTTTTCTTCGTTTTTTCTTAGGATGACATGCTGGATCCCTGTACAGTACATTTTATGTTTCTTTCTTTGTTTTAGAAAGAAAGAAAATAATTTACAACAGATATTTTTAAAAATGTTTTTGCCTGGTAAATTTAATAGAACTTGAAGGAAATGGTTGTTTTGAAGTGAGAGTAATCTTGTGGTTTGAAAAAAATAGTCTTAATTTTCAAGTGTGAACATTGGAACATGCCATAAACCTCCTCTGTTTGTGCTGCTTTATCCTTTATGACTGCTTGAACTTCTGTGCCTTGATGTAATCCAAATATAGTTTTCAAAGCTTTCATTGATATTTTAATGATTTTAAAATATTATAGTACATGAAGTAGAATTATGTAAAAAATACTACCCCTCTACTTCTTTGGGGCGTCTTTGCTCTGTGATAACATTGGATTATTTCAATCTCTGAAGTTGTATGTGTGTTATTAGTTAATTCTGTGTGATATATGGCTGTAAATTTATTTGCATCATTTTCCATGATACAATTGCCCAAGCTGCAGAAGAAGTAGGGAATCAGGTTTAAAAACATGTATATATCTGCATGCAGATAAATACTGTACTGCTGATGTGCACACACAGACCATGATTCATCCTTGTCCTGCACTATGTGAAGGCTCACAAAAAAAAGAAAGAGGTGTGCCAAGTCAGAGGAAAGCATTTAGTTTTTTCAATATCTAATTTGTGTTCCTTGTAGTATGATAATAATAGCATTGGTACGATTGTGATTTTCCCATCTATTACGCTGGTATTATAACTTCATTAATTTACAAAAAAATGTGTAGCAAATTGTATTTTTATATTTGTTTAAAATGCAGGTAGGCAAAAGCCTTTGTAAGATAAGGTCCTATGGTGTTTAGATTTGTCCAGCCATACTGATTGTTCACACGTGTGTTTTACAGGGCGCGATGTCTGTGGACTCTATTACAGATCTTGATGACAATCAGTCACGATTGTTAGAGGCTCTCCAGCTCTCTCTGCCAGCAGAAGCCCAGAGCAAGAAAGAAAAGGCAAGAGATAAGAAACTAAGCCTGAACCCTATTTACAGGCAGGTTCCTCGGCTTGTAGATAGTTGCTGCCAGCACTTGGAAAAGCATGGTAAGATTATTTTGTTCTCTCAGGAGTGGCAGATGTATTTTTGCTGTAATACAAATAAATGTATATTTTGAGAAGCAAGCATGTACTTCAAATTGCAAGGACATCTTTGAAAGTCAGACATTTACCCTCCTATTTAGCCTCTCCCTAAAGATACTGTCTCGCACGTAGTTACTTAGATGATATCTATTAAGGATCTATGCTACGAGCTTACAAACTGGCCCATACAGCACAGAGGAAGAGACATACGTTTCTTGGAGGTCATTGGGACCTCCAAGACCTCCATTCTTGGAGGTCTCTCAACTGGAGTGCTCAGCTCTGCATGAACAGCTCTTCACACCCACCAAAGGTTTACCTATACCTTGATACTGAAAATCTGAAACATGCCAGTCAGCCTGGAGTCATTCTTTGCAATCAGTGGATCTTAAGGTGTAAGAGCTAAGTTAACTGTTTATACTACAGTCCAAGACTTAACCAGAAACAGCATTTGAAGATAGAGGCTCAGAGGAAGAAGAATTGAATTATGTTAAACTCCAAGAAGCTTTTTCCTGTTCACTACAAGGCTTGCAGGCTGCCTACTCAGTTTGTGCCTGGCTTGAGTCCTCCTGACCAGCCTCAGGCTCAGGCCTGCTCTCTCAGAAGGGAATTACAAACTCCTGCCATTATTCTTTTCATGTCTTCACGATCATCCAGACACAAACCTCCCACCAGCTTTATCTAATGCAGAAACAATAGTTAATCAAGGTATCTGTTCAACATCTCTCCCAATGTATCTTAGTCTTGTAAAGGTTTTTAATGAGAATTGAAATAACAGCAAGACGGAGATAATAAAGAAACCATTGAGCAATGGTGAATGCCACACCAAATGATGCATTTGATGCCTAATTTGACCAGAAAGAAATCGTTTACTGACTCTGAACGAAAGACTTTTGCAGACTGCAATTTAGACAACAGTGCTAAGCTTTCACAATACATAATTGAAAACCATGTTGCTTACAAATACATAAAGGAGAACTGCGAAAGAGAGTCATTGTTAGCCTTTTACAGAGATTAGATACCATGGTTGATAAATAAGTGTGGGGATGATTAGATTGGAGATGAATGACTTCTGTCCCTTTAAACAAGGGTAGCTGAGCTTGGAGAACATAAAAGTGTCTGAGTCAGCCAAAAGAGCCATCCAGCTGAATATCCTTTGGATACTGTGATTTTGTGTCACTTGATAAATTTTTTAAGTTACTTAAGCCACTGTCATAACAAAGATTATTTTCTATACAACATTCTTTACTAAAATATTTGCTTTATGTTAAAGTTTCCTTTTAAAGAAAATTTATGATTTTTTTGTACGTTTTCTAAGAGTGTACTGTAGTACCCCACAACGCAGTAATCTGAGATAATTTGAGGCAAATATTGATGTTCTTCAATTTTCAGTTTAATTTGCCATCCACAAAACAGTCATTGGGATTGGCTGACTGAGAAATTTAAAGATTGGAGAAGATGGACACTACTGTTTGCTCCTTGGCTTTAGGGAGGACTTTAATAGAGGACTTTCTGTTCTAAAAACAATCCTGTAACAACATCATTCCAGGCTATATGATGGACCAAGTTTCTGATTCTGAATCTGTGTGCTTAAGTCCTTTAAGGCCTACTTTTCAGCAGCAAATCACCTAGGAGTTTTTCACAAATGCTTTAAATGATAATTTTTAACATTATATGACAGAAAATGGTTATGTTCTTAGCCATAAAAGCCCCTGGACTTGTTTACCTTCCCTCTTTTCCCTGGGATCATGTCCCGGAGTGATAAAGGCTTGACTTCCTACAGACCCTCAGTGTAAAACAAATACTGTATGTTGGTGCTAGAACTGGTAAGCAGCCTCCTGTTTTTGCCCGGTATGAGTATCGCTACCTCAGATGATTCCCTGCCAGTGTTCCTGGATTTACTAAATGTTATTCCATCAATGTAATTTTCCATTAACCAAAGACAGAAGAATATTTGAAGAGAGGTGTCATGTCAAGACTAAAAACTAAAAGGCAGAATCCTATTTGAATTTCTCTGATGAAAAACTGCAACTCCAAACGCTGCTGCAAAGCTACATGTCTCTAGCAAGCAAGAGTAGCCTCATGGCTGTCAAAAGGCGTTTGTTTTGCAAGGTTATTTTACATCTCCTGTAAGTAGAGAAAATGAATGTTGCAGAGTAACTTCTGTTAGACCACAAACTTTTCAAAGCTTATAGATAATTCCATCCTTTTTGGAAAAAAAAAAAAAAAACCACAAAAAACCCCAAACGTTTAACTGCATAAAATGATATTATGTACACAGCTGCTTAAGTCTTTTAAGATTTCCACTCACGTTCTTATTGCTAAAGACCGTGTCACCTCTAAGGTGACATTTACTCTCAAATTTTTCAGTTTCTGTTACTTGGCAAAGTATGTTCATTCAACAACCACGTTATCATTTGTTCGATATTGTGGTGGTATCTACAGGGCTAGAAGAAGATTTGAACTGATTTCTTATGGAATAGCAGGCAACACCCATTCCCAAATCCCTAAGGCTAAATGACACAAGAGGCACACCTTCTGCACTTTGCCTGAAGTACAACGGTACTTCTTTATAGCTTTCCCTCTATATAATCACTGTTCCTACTTCGTAAACTGCACACAACTCCCAGGTAGAGTTCTTCCCTCTCGTAATCTGCCTGAGTGCCCAGCATATGTCCCTTTGAAGGAAACTCTCAGCTTTGGCTTGACAGGCACTATAGATCCAGTAGGTGACCTCAAACACCCACTGCTTCCTGTACGCAAAGACACAGCTCAGTGCCCAAGTTATTTTATTGCCTCTTTCCTTTGATGTCAGTCCTGGACATGCCACCTCCAGACGCTGAGCAGTGCCTCACTGCCTCACTCTCTGCAAACCTCTGTCCCTCACAGAGTAGCACTGGCACTACCAAAATGGCATCACAAGAAATGTCATGGAGATGCCATTTTGCAAGTTAGGTGATGCGAGGTCCTTAAGAACTACAGTGGATGATTTCTTAATCCAAGACAACTGAGCTTTGCCTTAGCATGGTAAGTACAAGTTTGTAGAGAAATACATTGTGGGGTTTTTAATTCTTTTAAGTACAGACATAGCCCAGATTGCTTTGGTTCAATGCAATTTTCAGCAGAAAACTAAACAATAAAACAGTTTTCTGATGTGCTACACTTGCAGGTCTCCAGACAGTAGGAATATTCAGAGTTGGAAGCTCAAAAAAGAGAGTAAGACAGGTGAGTGGATATGGATACGCTTTTCCCTCATCACCTATGATGCAAACAAACCTGATTCCTTTCTGTTAAGTGATTTCCTCCCCATCTATCACCTGGTGAAATTTGGGCTTTCTGGGTCAGTGACTTTATTGTTTTTTTGATGGCTCGTAACAGGCCATTTGCAGTCATCTTTTACATTTGGTGAAATCCTTGTCAGGTTCTCAGCAGGTTAACAGTCTCTGTATGTTTTGCTCTGCAGAAGTAGCACAGAGTTGGAGATCCGAATGAACTATAATGATGAAATTTTCCAAAGGTTACACTGTAGAGAAAAAAAAATCTTGGCTGCTAGGTGCATCTCAGAAACAGCTGAAGCTCCCAAAGTAAACCCAAACTGTAAATCTTTTTTGGAAAACTTACAGTATGAGAAAATATGCAAGTAGAGAGCAATCTCTTTGACCCTGAAATCATTGCTCCCAAATATCACCTTTCCTTTACCCCTGTTAAACTTGAAGGTCAGAGCATACCCATCCAAGTCCTAGTCTCAGCCAAATGTTGGAAAAACAAAGATGGTGTATGGTTAGGTTCCAGAGACAAAGTCAGAAGTGGGTGTTTCCTCAGCCCTAGATACTGTGTTGTTATTCCCAGAAGTTGGGAATACATGTTGAATTAGAGCAGTAGAGAATAGTGCTTAACGATTGCATGATGCTTAGGGAGGGGATAAAAAGTTACAAGAAAACAACCCCTGCCAGGAAGTATAAGACCAAAAAGATCAAATATTAAAAAGCAAAAGAAAGTTTGACTGCATCTGATCCCAGAAATAATAGTTCTTTGTTGCAAAAACTACACAGTATAATGTTTGGTGCTGTGGAAAGTTACCATGAATAGCTAAACTGACTTCATTCTGCCTGGTAAGACAGTTTAGCCTGCTGGTTTGTAGCTTATTCTTTAGCAGTTTCTATTGCTGAGTGGCTGGTGTAACACAAAGCTGAAAACATTGAGCTGCAGTTGTTAGATCAACTCTGAACTAGATAAAGTATGGAAAAGTAAGTTGCCTGTCATTTGCATTACAAGCTTCGATGTCAAAGCATATATTAACATTCAGGGGTGCAATTGCATCATGCCTCTGGGGAAAAAGCAAAGGGCTTGTATGGGTTACTTGTAAACTGAGCCTTACTTCAAACCTCAGTGACTTTCGCCATATTTTCTTTTACTGTGTTTTCAAAAGCTGAGGAAATCAGGAGATTTGGGTATTTATGTATTCTATTACATGGACTAATTTATTGAATTAGGTGAACTAATATATTTCATTAAACAGCATGCAAGCTTGGCCCTAGCAGTTACAATAATAAGTGCTGTCAACATGAACACATGGGAAAGTCTGGATTCAATTAAAATTCCACTCATTTTCTGAGCCATGGAAAGCCAAACCCAGGACTCAGATTTTGGTGTGCTTTTGCAGCTGTTCATTAGTTTTTCTTGTGTAGAAAGTAGGCATAGTTTTGTTTCCCTTCCTCCTCCAGTTAGAAAATATCCTATTACAACTGTAGTTGGTTGGAATAAACACGTAAGTAAGTAGATGCACGTGCCAGTCGGGTTTTTGGTTGGTGAGCAGGGAGAGAAAATCTACAACAAGCGCGCCTATAACAAACCACCTCCTTCACACTCTGTAGGGTGTAGGGTGAAGATTCCTGAGCTGGTGTTGACTGAAGGTGGTGGGTCTGGTATATCGGAATGCCAGATACCAGCTTGTGCCCAGAAACTATACAGATGCTTGAGCAGAGCATTTGTTGCCAGCCTTAGGGTGGACAGCCCTCTGTGCTGGGCCTGGTGACTTGGCAGCACCTCTGCGGGTGAGGCAACCATCAGACCTTGAGGTTGAAGAGTGACACGGCTGGAGCTCTGCTCTCCCATCCCCTCTCCTAGCAAGGATATCCTCAGCTCACACGTCTTAAGCTCTGGTGAATGCTGTAGTTCACCAGGTGTATTTTCCAAAAGTCTGAAAGTATTCCCTGTGAATGAAGTCAGAGAGACGTACAGTTTAAACTTAGAAATATACATTTTTTTTAACAGCTGTGATACCTGGGCCTGAAATGTGGTCATGTTTCACCAATGATTATCTGATATTGTGCTAATTAGGGCATCTCTGTAGGCCTCACAGGGTATCAGATCAGAAGTGCCATATTCAGGACTGTAACAGCAATTTATGATCTAGACAGCTGTTTCAGAAGTCCCAATTCCTGATGCAGTGCTGATCTGTTTCATCAGTTACTTTTGGGCAGTAAGTGCCGAAGCAGTCTTCTTGATAGAGGGAATTTATGGTGCTCCACAGGGATGTTCCCCATTTGCCACCAGTCTGAAGAGTAGAATTGAGCTGGGAATTAAATCCCCAAGTTGGCACTGGAGAATCTTTGACCACAAATCAGCAGAGGGAAGCATAATAACACATAAAGAACAAATTCTGGTCTTCATAGCATAATTATTAATAATGACTGATATTAATAATGTTAAAAGGAGGCTGTAGTTTTGTGGAACACCTTTCACACCCATAACAAAAGCACAATTTCAGCTGAAAATACAGGATTTTCTGCATTCCTCCACACTATACACACTCAAGATAGCTTTGCCTGTGATCAAGATTTGCCACAGATTATCACAGACACATGGTTTGCTTGTGATTTACCTTCTGTCTTCTGAGATGTCTGTAATGATCCTGGTAAAGAAAGCTAATACCTCAAATTTCCTCTCGTTTTGTAAGATTTGGATTTAATTGCTCTCTGAGAAGATATGTGTGAGAGCATGATACCTCATAATATCAGCAAAGATAGGAAATTTTCCTAGGAAATAGTTTTAAAACGTTTCGACTATTTTCAAAATGAAAAGAGAGTAAAAGGTGGAACGCTCCACCTGGAGAAAGTAATCCGCTCTTGGTGCTAGGAAATCTGTCCAGAAAAGCAGGCTTCTATCTTTTCATAAGGCATGTTGGATGTGGGAGAGGGATTTCTTCTGCCTTTGAGAAGTGTGATGCCTAAGAACGATACAGAATTTGTCTGAGGACTTTAGCTGGGAAAAAATAGCGATACCTGGTAGTGGTATTAGCTTGCTGTTTGTTAACTCCCTCGTGATGATCACTCAGAGAATATAACGAAATTAGGAAGGCAGAACAAAACGTGTGCGGGCAAATGCCGTGAAGTCTTAGTGAACCTGGCTGCCTACTTGCTTATGCTTAAATAAAGAGAAATGTGAGTTTGGTGGATTTTAACATTGTCTTACTGTTGTTATTAATGTTTTTTTACAAAAGCATACATGTTATGAAATGCAATTTTAGTCTTTCTGGTCCTAAAATCTGGGGATACTGCACTAAGGTGGTAAAGGAAAGCCTTTCTTGCGGTTTTCCTTATTCTCCCTGGTTTCTGCCTTTGATATTAATCTTACATTTCTGCAAAAATTATATTTACTTGGGCACGTTTTTTCATAAAAGAGTGCCATATATTAGCTGGAAAGAAAGAGCTGTATTTTATTACAGTCCAGTACAAACCTTAAGTTACATATTATGGAATAAGCAGCAATTGGACATGAATTATATCTCTGGCCTTACCAAGAACTTGTCATGTCCAGTCTGGAAAGTGAAAATGAGTAATTGTGCATCTTAAAATATTTTCTGTGTTGTACTGGTTGGGACAATAAGTGACTGTGGTTTTTTGTCATCATCTTTTTCAGTTACGTGAAGAGTTTGACCGGGGCATAGATGTTGTATTAGACGAAGAGCACAGCATTCATGATGTTGCTGCTTTATTAAAGGAATTTCTGCGTGACATGCCTGACCCGCTTCTCACCAGAGAACTTTATACAGCTTTCATCAACACTCTCTGTGAGCTCTGCAGCATCTTGATTTACTGATTTTCAAAAGCTCACCTGTTAGAATTCTTTAATCTTTACTGATTGTATTCTTTTTTTCTGTGCATTTATTATTCTAGCCTTGATTTGCTTCAAATATTTATATAATATAAATTCACTGAGATCTTTCCTTGGTTTTCATATTGTGGCCCATGACACTAGAAAAACAAAGATTTCACTTGTTATACTTATTTTTGTGTTCGTATGTAGGATGTTACACGTTACCTGTTAAACCCTGACCCTGTCACTGATTCAGCAGTAGCAGATGGCAGACTTCCGTTTGAATCCTGGTGTCTGAGCACCATTAATACTTTTAATTTTTAGAGCTCTTTATTGACCAAAATTTCAGCCTGGCTTCAAAAACCTAGCTTCAAAACTTCATCATCATAGTTAATGGTCGTCAAAGCCATCATATTAAGTACTCCCAAACGTGTTGCATAAGACCTGGGCGCAGACTCTCACGGATTTGGGAAAAAGTAAAGTTGGGCCCTTCAAGCTTAAGCTGCTGCTTGCTATGTGTTTTTCAGATTCTTTCTAGCCCTCGTGTCTGAGATCCTGCCTCTGTTCCACCTTTGTCACTGGCTACCATTGCATTTTAGGTGGTTAAACTGATGGTGGTTGCAGAACATCCTTTATATCTCTACTTGCTTTTCCAGTCTCCAAGTACCTCTACAAGATGTGAAATTTTAAGAAAACCCATTTAAAATTGCTAAAGCATAAAACTTGACTGGAATGCTTCCTAGCGGTGCCCTGTATATACCAGTAGCTATACCTAAATGAATAGAATATGTAGAAAATTAAACAGAATTTTTGTGTCCAGTGACAGTAATGCAAGGTGCAACATGGATTTTATAGGCTGAGAAAAGATCCTATGAACCTGTGAGCAAAAAGTTGACCAACCAAGGCAAAAAATCCCATAACAGTATTTGTTACGCTTTTGATATTTCCTTAGAGTTTTCTTCTTCTGACATCAAAAGGAAAATGATCCTTAAACAAAGCTATTCTGACACCTTCCTTTGGGCTGGGAACAGTCTATTTGTTCTGCTTTTAGGTTAGTTGGAGTGATTTTCTTAGAATGTATTTTTTCCCCTCTTAGTATTAGAGCCAGATGAACAGCTAAGCACCTTACAGCTTCTCATTTATCTTCTACCTCCCTGTAACTGCGATACCCTACACCGGCTGCTGCAGTTCCTCTCCACAGTGGCTGGCCATGCAGAAGACACCACAGATAAAGATGGCCAAGAGGCAAGTCCCAGTCACTTGTGTCCTTTAACTTTGCTTAGTTCATGGTCTGAAAAGAGATCTTTAAAGCTGTGAAACAAACACCATGGTGGCATATCCCTGAAAGATGGGAGAGATTTCATATTCTTGTCTGCATATTTGCCATTTGTTTACTGTGTTCTTATGACTGTGAGAGCTCGATTTTTATATGGCTTAATCAGTAAAGAATCTACCACTTCCTTTGGGAAATTCACAGCATAATTGATCTTGTTGTTAAGAACGTGTAACGTTATCCATCCTTTTTTCCTCCCTTGTTTTGTTCTATTATATTCTTTGGGAAAAATACTCAAATAGAAAAGTGTCAGGCATTCAAGAGTGTGCTTTTTCATTCTGTTTTCATTCTCTGCTGTTGCTTGCTTATATGACTTTTAGACATAGCAGTTCACTGGTTCCCTTTATCTTCCTTGTATGCACTGGATAGTGAAGAACAAAAAATAAAGGACAGGAATTACACCTTTGCCCTTCCACCTCTTGGAGTCCAGTCACTGGTGTAATCACTATCTGGAGTCAGAGTCCTTCTTTGCCTGCTTCCCTTCTGGCCTCCTTGACTGTTACATTCTGAACCAAATTTGTTGGAGCGGTTGGAGTGCGCCCATCCCACAGAGACAAGAACACCCATAGCCATGTGGCTGAGCTGTGCTTCTGAGCATTCACGCGTGCATCTGAGCTGTTCACGGTAGAGAAGATCTGAAAATCCAGGCTTCCCATTTTCTGCCAGGAAGATGCTTGAACTAGGGGGCAGCTCTGCAAAAGGTGGCAACTATGAATGAGATGGATATAGTCAGTCACTGCTGGATGAAATTGTACCACTTTATCTGTGGAAGGGACTTCTCTGTCCTCTGAACTGCAGCAGAGACTACATCTGATATTATTTCTGAGACCTTGCTGAAACTCCTGAAGAATTTTGTCTTCCAGATGGAAAACCCTGTTGACTTCTGTCAAATTTGGACACCTTTTGCAGTTGGCTGGTTTTAACATTCGGCACTTTGAGACTGAATTTTGCCAAATTTCTGCCTCAAGTCCAAACTTGCAATGTGCTGTGTGTGACTTCAAGGCCTATTTCAGTTTTAAATCCACTTTAAATGCTATTATTTTTGTCCTCAGCAAGGAGTTGATAAAAAACTACACCGCTAGGATGGAAAGCATTTAAAATGAATAGGCTGTAACACTTTTACTGTGCTTAAAAACGTCGCATGTGTAAGCCAGCTAAGGTCATGGTCCCCCTGATCCTGCAAAGAGTTCTCTGTTGGTTCAGGAACGTACCCAAGGGGATCTTATTGCAGGGCTAGAGGCCGATGCTGCTTAAGAGAGTTTGTTTGGCACAACAGTTGTAATAAAGGCATTTTCATTCCTCTTAGCAGTGCATCAGCTCTGCTACAGGTATTTTGGCAAGGCAAATTTACGTAAGCTGTCTTGGCAGTATTGTAAGCATCAGGAATATTATGTGCAATTGGATACCTTTCGTAGATAATATAGTATTCTACTCAGAATTATTTAAGCTGTTCATTAATAATTAAGTGAATGAAGGTATACAGGGCAAGAAAAAGTATTTTATCAGACCGTTTGCTATCACTGGAAGGAAAACAGCCCAGCTTTGGCGCACAGGCCCTCTTCATGATTTCTTTCAAAAGCCCTTCTCACGAAAATGAAGACAGATGACTAACTATTAAAATTACTCATTCAGTTAATTTCAGTGGATATGTTTACAACATTTTTTAAGGGATGCCCTGAGGCTGCCCTTGAGAAAAGACCCACTGTTTGTACAAACAGCCTGCACATGCAGATCCAGGCACAGCCAGAGGCTGCCCCTGGCACACTCCACACAGCACATCCCTGTGCATCCTTGGTGGCTCAGTACTCTAACAGTTTTTGAAAAGCCGGTCACCCGAAAAACAGCCGGGTGCATGGTGATGCACAAATACGGGAGTGTGCTGTTCTCGCAGTCATGCTGGGATGAGTCTCTAAACAAAAGAGCCAAGATGTTTGTGATGACTGCCCATGCACCTACTTAGTGCAGATGTCTTTCCAAGATTACACAGTGGCCCCACAGATAAAAGGAAAAGCTCTTTTTACTATCATCTCTTATCTAGTTGAGCTCTGTGAAAAATAAACCAGGTGCAGTCAGTGAACAGTTTTAAGTTTGACTAGAGTATTCAGTAAATGACCAGCTAAAAAAACCCACCTAAAATAACTGCTTTGAAAAGATTTTGTTTGTACCACTCATTTCCTGAAAAGGTATTTTTACTGCCTCTTTTTGATGCCTCCTCTTGTCCTTTTTTTAAATTAATTAGTTCACATGTAACTGAAACAAGTGAAAAATAACTCTCATGATATTTTTTTTGTTCTTTAAATAAAGGTCCACAAGAAATATTGGGTCAACAGCTGAAATTGACTTACAGTCTTACATAGTCAAACTGCTGACATCTTCTGCATTCCCAGAATAGCAACCAAGTGGAGACGCAGAGGGGAAACACATGACCCCTGCTTTTTGCTCTGTTAAAAGAATAGAAGGGGAAAAAAGTAGTCTAATCACAAATATGACAATTAAAATTTTTATTTAATGACCTGTATGACATATTTTTCAGATAATTTCTGTCTAGTCTAGTATATTTTACTAGCCTTCTACTTCCTCCAAAATCAGGTTACTATTGCTTCTTTGAGCACAGAGTTGTAAAAGTAGGAAAAAAGTAAAAACTGGCAAAACCAAACCAAACAAAGAAATCCACCCAAAAAGTAAACGTTTGGCATGTTCTAGAAAACAAGCAAAAAGAGAGGAAAATACTAACAAAAATAATGAGCGTGCTCCTTAATTATCCAAACTGTTTAAACATGGCAAAGTGTGTTTTTCCTCACTGTATCTGTTTCAAATCATGAGTGCTACTCGAGAAAGCTAATGGTTTTCAGTATTCGGTCCTAAGATACAGTCATATGTTGAGGTGGTGAAGTAGGAGGGTGGTTTCCCTGAGTTCAGCAGCAGTATGCCACTGCTGAGCTTCAAGGGAATTAAGGGCAGGCAGCACTTCCACCTTCTATTTCTCCAATCCATTTGAAAATATATCCAGAACATCCTCGGTGCTTGTTGCAGAGATGTCCAAACAAAGTGTTTCAGCCTTTCTAACTATTGTTCGTTTTTTATTTGACTAGTATTTAGTTTTGGTTTTGATGAATGAACCATCTGCCAAATGGGCTGGGAGGGGGGGGAGGTGCAGATGTAGAGGCGTGTGTGTGTATAGCTGTGTGTATATATGTACGTATCTGTATACATTAGACCCTGGGAAAGCCCACCTCATTTATATTCTGTGTTCTAGATTACTGGGAACAAAATGACATCGCTTAACCTGGCCACTATCTTTGGCCCAAACTTGTTGCACAAGCAGAAATCTACAGACAAAGAATTCTCAGTCCAGAGCTCAGCTCGAGCCGAAGAGAGTACTGCTATCATAGCCGTCGTACAAAAGATGATTGAAAACTACGAAGCCCTTTTCATGGTAGGTGAATGTCTCTTCACATTACTCCTGTGCATTTTCAAGTTAAACGAGGAAATACCTGGTTGGTATTGAAACAGACTAGGACGAAATAAACTGTGGAAACTGCTTTAAATTAGGGTCAGTTAGTAATGGTAGAAAAAGTAGACTTCTATCAAGGAAGAAGTAAGCAACAATTTTAAAAATGTGTACTTGGATCTTGCCTGGAATAGCTTCTATGTAGATGAGAGCATCTTCCTTAAAAGGTTTCTCTCTGTGGCAGTGATGGGGTTGGTTAGTCAGTTGTATACTAAACAACACAGCAGCATTGCTCATTAGTTTCGCAGGCAAGACTGAAAATGACCATTCACCTCTCAGGTTTGGAAGTCAGGGAGCCAGTTTTTCTGCAGTGAGAAGAGGTTACTTTAAGGAGCAACAGCCTCCCCTACCAAAGACTGACTTGTTGGTTAGATGGGGAGCAAATGCAAAGCTTTCTCATTTGTCAGTTGGGTAAGAGGAGTAAAGCATAAATCTGTGTAGTTCCTGGGTACCTTTCTGTTCTTTTGCTGAAGCAAGGAAGTTTTTCATATAAGGGATGATGACCTTGGACTTGGGCATGTTGCATACTTAAGATGCAGCTTCATTAGGTCGCGCTCCTTGTGCCTGGCAGTTACCTGGACAGTTCATTCTGTGGCGTTACCTTTTCCTCTTTTTGTCTACAAAATTATAGGTCAGCTCAGTAATGACTTGTGCCTGAGAGAGCCCTGCTCTGGGGTAGCAGAGGCCAATCAGACCTAGTGGTGGGTCCTGTCTTCATTTTAGTAGATCTTAACAAAACCAGTAGTCTTGAAAAGATGAAAATCACTTTGGTGGTTGTGTCTTGAAACTAAGCAGCACTGTTTCGGTTATACTGAAGAGATCGGTTCCCGAAGCAAGAGGAAGAACATTCTGGAAACCTCCTTTAGTGCTCCAGCAAAGCTGGGTGCTGGGTACCTGTGATGGGAGAAGATGGATGAGCCTGGACTGTGGACATGTGGCACTGATGGCCACATAGTCAGGTGTCTACCGGATTTCAACAGGGAGAAGAGCATGAGAAGGCGATCATGAGCGCTGCCTATCAGTCTTAGCCTCAGATGAACTTCTTTGTGGTTTTCTTGTCTTTTCCCTCACACTGTATTGCCTTTCATTACATACTTTGCTTTATTTTTATTCTTGTTCCAGGGAGACACTCAGCAATCTTTTTTTTTTCTTTTAATGCTTTTCACAGTTTGGGGAAACTTTAGGTGATATTTTTCCTTCCACAGCAGGAAAAGAATGTGACAGAACTGCACTCTTCTGCAAAGGTCTTCTGGCCCAGGGTGTGGATGGCACTAGCAAGTTTAAAATAATACTTGAATAAGAATACTTGCAGCACTTGGAGTTTTCTTATTGTTGTTTCTCTTTAAGAATATTTTACAGCGCAGCCACATCTCAAGACACAATACTTAGGCACACATTCTGACTTTCAATGTGGAAAGGATGGAGCTTAGTGTTAGACTAACCTACACATGGTCTCTTTTAATTGTGATGGATTTATTCCTTTTTCTCTTCAGTGCCTGCATTTTCATCTGAAGCTTAAACAAAGGGATGGGGGGGGGAGAGTTTTGTTTTGTTTTCTTTTCCAGAGTAGCTTCTCAGATTGTGGAGAGAGATTAGAATCAAATTTCCAGATGAGAGGCTAGCTGCAAGTGAAAGACAAACCTATCTATCTCAGATGCTCTCCTGAAAGCTGAAATACATTGATGTGAAATTTATAGAAATGTCTAACAACTGAGCATCTCTGGGTGCTTTCACTCTTCTGATTGCCATAGTTAACATAGCAAGTTCTGCCTGTTTTCTGGAGTCACACATGATACTTTTCTAGAGTTTTCTAGACTCACACATGATACTTGATCTGTAGGATTGTTTCAAATTGCTCGTAGTTAGTATTTTCTAAAGCTTCTACTAGGGTTTACTTTCATCTTTTTCATGTTTTCAGCAGCAGCACAGAGAGACTCTTTGTATTTTGAAGATAATTAGCCCAGTGCATCATTTGGTAATAGATGCATTGAAAGGAAAGAACTTGCACATGTAATGGTAATAAAACTCTGATGATTTGAAATCAGGTGGCAGCAATTTGTTTTCCAAACCCATAGGAGTGAGGCCAAACCAGAACTGCTGTTTGTACTTTTTTTTACAAAAAAAAAAATAAATAGATCTAGACTTGAGCATTCAGCTGCAGCTGTAACGTACAGTGTATTGCTGCTAAGGTGTTTTTGTGTTTGGTTTACTTTTTTTCTGTTACTTTTGTATATGAGGAGGTTATAAAACTCTGGTTGGCTTCAGCATTGAAACTGGAAGAACGTTTGCGAAATAAAACCTAGGAAACCAGGATGTGTTGTGGTGCCCAGATCGCAATATCAGAATGATTCTGATGTATTGGTGGGTCAGGAAGTTTCTGTTAGAACAACCCAGGATACTGGGGACTGTTTTTATTAAGCAATTACCATTGACATCAGTCATCTGCAAACGTAGATTTCGTATAGAAGATGGATTCTGACCTTGCTTCATTGATGTTGAGGCCTTTCATATATAATTCTTACCCATTTCAGTGAATCTTAGAGATGCATTAAAATGTTTTACAGGAATGTACAAAGACTGTTCTTTGCCAGTCTCTGAACTATGTCCAGCAACTGAATGTGAGGAGGCACAACTCAACCACGCTTTGTCTCCTTGGCTTTGACTTGGCATGGAGGGCGGAGAAGAGCAGCTTGGCCATGCATTTTCATCTCCTAGTGCCCAAATCCAGCCCTGTTGCAAGGAAGCACTACATAGTGTCTGAAATTTCTTAATTTTTATTGTTAGAGGCTACTGTGGCCTCCCCACTGCGGAGGCAGTCACATGCTGCCTTTCTGCACTGCATCAGTAGCAAGGGACAGCACAAAGGAGATGCCTCAAGGATCCCTCCACCCTTTTGTGTCTCAGTAGCTGTGACTCTTATGTAGTACCCAGACCCAAAATCTCAGAATATCTCCTACTCTACTGGAGTCTTGACAACCCTAGAGCCCTCTGAGCCATCCTAGAATGTGCTCAACAGCTGTAACAGCTGTTATTTCAGCAGTGCCTTGGCTTCCCTTCTGTCCCTGAATTTCAAGTTCTGATCCGTCTACTCATCCACAACTGCCAGTTGAATAATTAGTTCAATAATCATTAGTGCTGCTCTGTAACATCTTCCCAAGATACCAATATAGTAGTTCTCTTCAAGTGTAAGTTTATAGTTACACACATATAATTTCTACGCTTGCAAGTTAGTTAACTAACTGAAGTAAATTGCTTTACAGGAAAAAATTAAAACCCAGCAGATAGCTAGCAAGAAGACCATCAATATAAATCCAGTTGAAGGATCGCAGATTGATATGCCCTCATTCACTCAGATAAAAGTCGTATAACTTGGTAGAACTGTTGAGTTTGGGTTTTGCAGATGCTTTCACTTGGAACTGAACTGCCTGTTGGAACTTTTTCAGAGTCATTTTCATGGAACGAAAGACTTTGGGGTTTTTGTTGTGTGGGGTTTTTTTTGTAATAATGGAAAATGTTTTGGGTTTTTTCTGACGAAGTCCACTCCGTAGAATCTTACAAGTCTATCAGCTTGATACAAAGCTGAATAGTAAGTGACATACAGAAAGACATGAACTCTGCATTACTCTCATACTCTATCTGGAGTTAATTCTGCTGTATAGAAAGGCTGTCTAAATGGAGAAATTACGGTACACCAGGTTTCCAAAATGTATTCCTATAAAGATAAGATGTTTATTTAAAGACTGATATATCAATGCCCATCAGTAAGATATTTTTCTGGCTTAGAGGCTAAATACAGTATTTTTTGAAAGGAATATTTAGTCACACAAGTTTTTAATAGAGATTTTGGGTCAATTTGAATTAAATAGGCATATCTTCATTTATTTTCAAGTTATTTCCTTTTTTAAAGAAATATGCCTTTTCTGTAACTCGACTCCCTAAATACTTCCCAAACTGAGGTATTCCCCTGAGGAATCTATTAGTAATTCTATTCCTATTTCCCAGAAAATGTCAGGGAGAACAAATAGCCCATGCAGTGTGACCTGAAGGTCAAGAGATTGAGGCTCTGACAAATTGCATCCAGAAGCATATTGCACAGTCAGTAACCCCTTGCTGAGATTGTCTTGCCTCCAGCTCCATCATGAGTGAACCTCAGCTGTTAGTTCAAGTTTCTCAGATGGTTTCATCTGTTTCAGTGCTGTGAAGGTTGAGTTGAATGTTCCACTGTGATGTGGACAAACTCACTGTAGAATAGATAGGACTCATGTCAAATGCAGTTGGAAGCACAAGCTTGGACAGATTACTTGGGTGGATTTTGGAGTGCCATTCCTGCGACCTGCCCAGGTTGCTTTATCTGCAGCAGCTGAAGCTATCAAGTGTTTTGAAGGCTTATCTCCATATAAAGTGCACTAGAGAGAGGTAACAAATCAGCAGGCAAAACTCTGAAGAACATGGCACAAACTCTCTTTGAGCCTGTTGCTACTACTCACAGTCCAGAGTGGCTGGAGATCCAACAGTACCCAATTGTAAAACTGAGTTATGGACAGATGAACTCTTTAATTAGTCAAGTTCTGATTGGGCATAAGCAGGAATTTAAGTGCTTCTAGATCCCAGAATTTGGCTACATGGATACCTGAACATTAAATGTTTGTAAGGCTTCATTTGGAAAAATATGGACCTTTGACAGCTCTCACTCAAATGAAGCAATTGAAGAACTTCATAGATAGAACAGTCACCATGAAATTTCCATATGAGAGTGACATAAATAAGTCAAATGCCACAGAATATATGAAGAAACATTCCCCTTCCTGTCTGATTACATTTCACATTGTTTCTAAAAAGAGAGAAATACAGTCACTTGGACTGGAAATTTTTCAATGTCCCCAGATCTTTAAATAGGGATATAAGGTTAGGAACATGAGTTGGAGCTTTTGAGACTGCAATACATTAGTAGTCTCACTATTGCTACCAGATAAAATACCCAGCTGAACACTAGTGGGACATTCAACAGTAACCAGCGTTTGATGTTGTACAAAGTGATCTTTAATCCTACTTCACCTGTTGTTACATGAAATTTCTATTTTAAGTGGAAGCTTCTAAATATGTATTTTATATACTGTCCAGAAATGTACTTGTACTTGGTCTTTTAGATGAAGCATAGTACCAAAACTAATGTATATGGAAGGATATTCGTCTCCAACTAAGTATTTTTTATCATCTTCGTAGGTTTCCCCTGACCTACAGAATGAAGTGCTTATTAGCCTGTTAGAGACTGACCCAGATGTTGTGGACTATCTGTTGAGGAGGAAAGCTTCCCAGTCATCGTGAGTAATCTGTTTTTTCGTCATTCCTGTTTCTGCTGGGAATTTCTATCTCCCACTGGAAGTGTTCAAAAGGTTCTAGTTTTCCACAGCTCTTCTGCACTGTCTACAGTGGAGTAGAAATATCCTCCCCGTTACACAGACTCTGCCAAAGAAATTATGACTCTTGTACAGCGTTTTCTAAAGACAAATCTTGTTTCCCGATTCGGAGGAAAGATTGCATTGCGCTGCAGAGAACAGAATGACATGTACATAAAAATATTCGGTGCACTATTATCTGACAGGATGTATTCTAGTGATCCGCTGGTTCGTGTCTTGGGTTTGTTGCAGTCTTCAGTAACAGGAGGCTTGTATTACACTATCCTTGAAACACACCCTAGAGTGCCTTAACACAATCACAGCTAGCCATTTGACCAGTTTGTTGTTCTTTTCCTATTGTATACACCCAGGACATTGCAAACAAGTCAACTGCTGCAATAGCAGGTTTATGGAGACTCTTTGGATATTATTTAACCATATGCTTTGTGAAAGATCTAAAGAGAAAAAAAATCACACCGGTCACTATTGCGGTTATGATACATAACATACTCCAACTTTGTGTAAGGTGTATGTATGCCCACACCTGTGTGCCTTAACGCTATGAGTTTGTGCATTCAGATTAACAGGATTCCTGGCTTTCTCATGGGACACACAGTCATTGCCTTTACTCTAGCGAATCCTGGTATGTCAGACCCCAAAATCACAAAATTTGAAAAGCTTGCTTTAAGTGATTTTTAAGAGGTTTCCTAGACTGTAAACTTTCTGGGACAGATTGGACTTTGTCTTCCCGTGTGTGTGGAAAGTGCCTAGTGCATTCAGAATATAATTAAAATCGAATTTGTACAGTCAGTTAGCTATGGGTTTTTTTTCTCTCCCTCTGGACATTGTATAGTTGGAGGTAATGTAATAGTGTGCCTGGCTTTAAAGGAAGAGGTATAGAAGAAATAGTATAACTAACACATGAAGGAAAAAGCTTTCTTTAATTATAAAAATTAAAAACAAAAATACGTGCAGAATATGTCATGTGTTGTAAAGGATTTTATTAGTTTGTTGACTTAACCACATGAACACATAACATGCAGTAGCAAATTATCACAGATCGTCTGATTTGTGGTAATTGTCTCTGTGTGTTTTCTTAGCATACTGCAGACATGAAATAATTTCAATTAGTTTATGTCTGATTGACAAGTAACCATGTGTATATTTAGATCACAATAAATTCAGGATAATTAGAGGTACGTTAGCTGCCTTTTACACTTGTTTCACATTTGCCATGAGCCAAGATCACAATTAGGAGATACACTGCAAATCATATGGCATACGGTGAAGTCTGTAGAGACTTCTTTCTTTAAGCCCTCAGTTTGGAATGATCATATTATTTCTAACTCAAGCTAATAAAAACCTTCATGCTGGATTTCACTGTCTATATAATATAAAGACATAAAATTGTATCTCACATGCAGCTACACATACCAATTAAGCATAAACTTATTGCAAATCATTGTGGATGTAAAGATTATTGTTAGATCCTGTTTCCTTGAAGTTAATTGACCTTTCCTTGAGCTTCCTTGCTTTTCAGCCAGCATGCACACCTAGAGAAGAAAATGGATCTTTTGTGCAAAGCTGGTCACATCTGATAAAGGGGGTTTTGTAAGAAAAGGTTATGAAACCAAATAGGAACATATGGCTACACTAGTGCCAATTTATTGTACTATTTTCAGTAATGGGCAGATGAAGTATCACTGAAATAGGAAAAACTTACTGTCTGTCATTTTTCTTCTACTCTGCTATCATGTAAGTGATTTATTCTTAATGTTAATGAGATATGTTTTCACTGTGATTGCAACTTCTCAGTTAAGATATTCCAGGCAATTAGAGGGAATGTTGCTTAGTGTTATTGCTAAGAGTGTGATGCTCTTAAGAGATTAATCTATTTCAGAACATAATCTCAATTTTGAGGCTACGTATTCGTTGATTATTTTTCCTGTAAGAAATGTGAGGCAGCAGACAACGAGATGTTTGTCTTGATTTGATAAAAATGAGCTTCCAAAATACATCCTTACTGCTCTTGGAAATTTCCTGGTCATGTATTCAAGATCCAAATTGGGATCTGTGGAACAGAAAACTTTACATATTCTTGAAACAATCTTTATCAGAAAAGTTGCTTGGCTGCATAGCGTAGAGTATGGAATCAACTTCAAGACTTTAATGTCATATTAATTACTCTGAAGGTCCTTCTTCTGCAATTGCCCTCACATCTCTGCTTTTGATGTCATTACAAATGTTTTCTTGGCTCTGATCTAACAGAGAAAACACAATCTCTTTTCCTCCCCAGAGGAGGAGAAGTGAGAGGTTCCTCATCTCTCAGTTCTCTTAAGAGCTGAGCATCATGAATGGTGTGTCAGGGAGTTTGTCAAAGTTGTTCATGGTAAAGCACTAATTACTATTGGCAGCAATTACAAAGTGTGCTTTTGTGGATGACTTTCCCAACTTTTTTGTATGTTGGCTTGATGACAATGGAATTTGGGGTTTCCAGTTGTAAGATGAAGCATCTTTAAACTAACACAAAAATAAAATCTGTTTCTTAATATTATTTACTGCTTATCATGGTTAGTAGTCCTTTTAGAGTAAATGAGTTTGAAAGTTACAGAATTTTCGAATGTTTTGGATGGTGATGATGGGTTTTAATCTCTCCTAACCTGTGGCACAAAGACGAAGCCATACAATAGGCCATATAGTGTGCGTAATTGCAGTTTTCAAAGCTGTGGAGGCTCCCTGGCTCATTAAGTCCTCTATCCTATTACAGTAGCAACCACATCATAATCCTGTAGTAATCTGTTTTGTTGGTGGCACCTGTGTTGCTCAAATATGTATGGAAGTTACTACTGCATGCTGCCAAGCCATCGCACTCCGTATGATTTGCCTCTTGTAAGGCATAATTGCTTTCCCGCACAGTAGCTTTAAGGTATAACAGAAAAGGATTTCTGCCAAGAACAGAAAGGGATTTCCTGTTTTGATGGCTTTTATGCCAGTAGAAAAATAGGCATATACCCAGTAGAAGTAATTATTATTAGTTACGTTTTTCCAGTTCACCCATGCAAGTAGACTGGTGGATAACATCAGTTCAGAAGGATGCCAGTTAAAAACAGAAGCCCAAGACTCCTTCATAGCATAGTTGGAATCTGAAATAGTATTTTTGAACACATGTGGCATAGATTCCTTCTGCAGCTTTCAAATCTTTCAGTTTGGACATAACCAGTTTTTAAATCTTTTCCTTAATGTAGTTCATAACCACTAGAAAATACTTTACTTGCCTTCCCATTTCTCACATTTTATAATACATAATCTTTTATTATTCTTTCTAGACACCATAATGTGCCCTTATTCATAGACTGCATATAGACAAGTGGGTGTCTTGAGCAGTATTTACATTTGCCTCCCAGTTTAGTTTTTCCCCACTGTGTGGGTAGAGAATCTCACAGCTGTCCAGGGATAGATGAATTTTGAATTTTGGTAAACATCCATTCGCTACTGAATTCAAATCATAAAGCAAACAGGTGCAAAAGTTTTGTTTTAAGGAATATGTGAGAATTCGTTCTTTATTTGGAAAGATACGAGCCAAAGTATTTTGCAAGTTGTGTTTTATTTTGTTCATGAAGAGCATCATAAAGCTGCAAATGTATGAGATCCAATTTCCAACTTTATTCAATCCATTTTGATCATTTCTTGTAGTAAAATTGGCAAAGTCCACATGCATCATCTTTGATTTTTTAAAAGTATTTTTTCAAAACAAACTTGAAAGTGGTATTATGTATATGTAATTGCATGGACTTACTAGCAGAAACTGTGAACGAGTTTAGAAACTTGAACATTTGGATTTTTCCAAAGACTTGACAGTTTCCATTCAAGTAAATTTTTATCAGGAGCTCTGTCTTGAGAAGAGATAGACTATAACAGATGATTCAAGGTAAGACATGAAATTAGTGTTTCACAAAGCTCAAATTTATGTTCCCACATTCTTTCATTTCCATTTCCCTTTCCCCTATTCCTTGTGTTACCTTGCCATGGCTAAGTGGTGGCATACCTCTCTCTTTGCCCTGTGCAACATAGTTAGGTTTTGATCTTGCAAAGATTTACACGGAATAAGCCTTATTGGTGTCACCATTAGTGCTGCGTATGTCTGTATGCTAGCAGGGTGAGATTTTGATAACGTTCAGTCCAGAAAGCTGGAGAGAAAGACTTTTCTGTCTTCTTCTCGCAGGTCTTTCTGGTTCTTCTAAAATTCCAAAGACATTGCTTTAATCTCATCTTAACTCACATGCACTACACAAGGTTTTTTTAGAACTTAGGAGGGCAGAAAGAAAGGAGTAAGGGACAAAAAAAAAGAGAAAAAAGATTTGTGATGGAATTGTACTCACTTAAGAGACAATTGTTCTTCAGTGTGTGACCGTAGACTAATTTTCATTGGACTCATCTTCAGATGAGAAGTTGAGATGGAAAGTTACATAATTGAAGCATGATGTACCTTTTTCTTTTTTTTTTTAATTACTCCCCAACATTACCATACCAACCACACTGGGAAGCCTGGGAGAGAGCTACTTTGCCAAATGGCAGCTATGATTTTTTGAGTTCACCCCGGTTAAGGTTCAGGATCAGTTCAGTGATTAATTTTTCGCTGGGAGTCACTGATGAGTAAACTTAGTTAATTCATTCCCAACACTTTATGGTTGCCTTTATACTGGGGGAGGGGGAAGGAATATTGAATAACATAATAATCATGATGTTGAGTGTATATATTTTATGTTCTGGGACATGCAGTATGTATTTCGGCCAGGAAAAAAAAAACAACAGCTTGAAAGTGGTGTTAAGTTTTGTCATTATTTCTGTATTGATGTTTAGTGTGCTGTGGCTAGCCTGTCTTACCCCTGTGTGTTTTCTTTATTTTCTTTCTTCAGTTTTATTTCATTTGTCTGGAAAGAGGGTTATTGTTCCATAACAAGTGGTGTACTTTGGCTGCTCACTCAGTTCAAGCTCTCTTTGGATTTTGACTCATGATGAGAAAGGCTGACCATTTTCTGTACATATTTACAGGAATGAGCCTCTGTCATATCACATGCTATTAGAGCAGATATTAATGTGACGTCACTGGGAGAAGTGTTTGACTCCAGAGAAGCAAAAGATAAGCATCTAAGAAACAAAGATCAAGGTGCAGAGCAATGAAAAATTAGTAGCAGAATATAAATTAGGGAGGCCATGTTTGTTTACAGAGTATTTCTGCATATTCTTTGTGAGGTTCAGTGACTCACAGACTGCCTCCTATCTGCATAGTGAACTGTAACAGTTCAAGAAATCTCTCTCAACGTTCTCGACACACTTTAAAAATGAGAGTTTTGTCTCTGAGCCTGGGCTGTACTTTTTGGTGGTGGTTTTGTTTGCCTTTTTTTGTGAAAATTAAATGCAGGCCATGCTGCATTTAATGGTAATGTAAAGGTGAAGGAGTAAAAGAAGTTGCAGAAGTTATCAGGAGAGCCAGTTGTTTGCTGCCCCCATCAGAAGTAGGGTAGATACATCTGCTTGTAGAAGGTTTACCTTCTGGTGTCTCTAGAATAGGATCCTTCTCACAGTGCGAGAGGCAAGCTCAGGTTTAGATTTCTCTGACTGTGTAGTACTTCAGAATGGAAGAAGGGATTTTAGCGTACTGCTTAACATCAAACTAATCTTACCGATCGTGCCCTCAGATTTGCTGTTGCAACAAGCTGAATTGTCAAGGTAACATAAGGAATTGATTCACTATTTAATTTCCTGTGGTGAACTGTACGGTTGTGTTTTTTGTTGTTTTCTTTCTTGACAGCAACATCTTTTGATTTTTAGTGGCCTCTGCTGGCCACTTCATGGCAAAAGTTTTACTCATGGAAAATTCACTTCTGTGCTGCTTCTGGAAGTGTTTTCATTTCAGCAGCTGTGATCATACTCCTATATTTGATTTTATTTGTATGATGTCAGTCTGCACCTGCAGCTGTGAACGTAAAGCATTTTTCATTAACAGTGGTTTCTTTATCAAAATTTCTCAGGAGCCCTGAGATGCTGCGGTCAGAAGGTTCCTACTCCACGGGAGGAAGACATTCTTCCACAGACTCCAACAAAGCTTCAAGTGGAGATGTCTCCCCTTACGACAACAACTCCCCGGTACTGTCTGAGCGCTCGTTGATGGCAATGCAAGAAGAAGTTGCCCGCAGCCCAGATAAGCTGTACAGGGTACCTGAACAGTACACGCTGGTTGGACATTTACAGCCTAAGACAAAGGAGAATTCTTCTGCATCACAGGCTGGAAAAGGTAGAGTACATCCTGTTCATGTTCTTCCTTATCTATGACCGATGGGGGTTTCTGAAATAATTGAAAAGTGTCTGCTCTATTTTGTCATCTGCCAGGAGTTGAGGAACAATGGTGTTAATAACCTGACAAGAAATGACTGACCAACATCCTTTTTTTTGCACTGATCCCAAAGGGTATGTGCACAGTCCTCCTTGTTAGCTCAGCCACCTGTCAGGGATGCTTTTGGTATGGCATTTCTCAAAACTTGGAGCTATTATTTAGGAAAATAGAACTATGTATGTCCTGCTTTGCAGCCTGGCTGTGACAGCATGGCAAAGATTCTTATATCTAGTCCTGCTCTGTAGGAGTGTAATACCCACAAAGTTATGGTCCAGACTTCTGAAAAATCTGAGACTTCAAGATGTCAAGCTACAGATTTTCTCCAATTGAAAAGAATTACCTCAACTCCATCTCGCTGGAGAGCACAACAGAGCTGCACAGCTTTACACGCTACCAATTACCCACCTAGCAATACTAGTGCAGGGATCCATAATTTCCATAGCTATCTAGGGAGTGCACACCTGAGTGGTGTCTTCTGTAAAGAACTGTGGTTTAAACTGATAACTCACCAGCACTTCCAGATGCTTTTCATTTAAAAATATAAAAAAAAAAATTTAACGCATATTTAGTGAGCCCAACTCTAAGGACTTTCATTGTGTAGGGATGCAGATAACTGTTTGGTGGTATTTTTAAAACCATTTTTTTTCAGAGGTACTGGTTAGTCACTTAATTCCCTTTGGAATAAATGAGTTTTAGACTATTATCTCAATTATATGCTTTATAAATGCTAATGGGCATCTATCTTCCATATTCACCATCTCTGAATAGGCTTCAAAATTTGGTCAGGTTGCTAGTGAGTTATAAACAGGAAATTACATGAAGTTTTATCGTACTAACCATCTTTTGGACTTTAATATGCATCACGACGATACTGGACCATGACGAATCAGGAAATTCCTCTACTGCCAGATGGAATCAGAAAAAGGCATGAAACAGTTACGATCCAGCACAGTGCCTGATGTGCGCATTTCATTAAATCTCAATTTTGTGGCAGCACTTCCTTGTAAGAACCAAGTGATGCTGCAGGTTGATAGAGCATGACTTACAGAGACCCCCGGGGCTGCAGCTGCCTGAGGGAGCTTTGCCATTCTTTTCCTGTAAAAAAGTGCATGAAATAACTTCTGTTGACCAGATCTTCCTGTTCTTGTGCAAATTCTCCCACCGACTTCAGTAAGGCAGAGGACTTAAGGGAAATTCCACTCTCCCAGCAAGCTCAGGCATCCTGCCTGTACAGAGCTCACTGAATTCACTACGAGATCTGAGCCTGAAACAGCAAGTAACTGGGAACAACATATTTGAGATCTGTTTGTTAGGTGCATCATAAGGCAGACACAAATATGTGTGAATGAATCTGATACCTTAAGTAAAGTTCTGTGTCCTCTTAAATTACCGTTCCATTTGAATGCTTTTAAATAATCACTTGTTCATTAAGGATCGATTCATCATTTTCTTCCTGCTCTTACTGCTATTTAGATGTTTCTGAAGATCATTTTGATATCTGGGGCACCTGGCATTCAACGCTGAAAAGCGGCTGCAAAGATCCAGCAATGACAGGTCAGTTATTTCTCAAGTTTTAAGCCCAAATCTAGCAAAGACATAGACAATTTCTTGGTTTTACGCAGTGAAACCAGTAGGAGAATTCACATTGTCCAGGGTTGGACTTTTAAAAGGTGGCTGTTCAATCAAATGCAGAAAAGCGCAATGGTTACACAAATGCAGCAACATTTCAAACTGTCACAAGAGAATTTTAAATAGTAATAATAATAGTTATATGTAATAATAGTTTTATGTTCTTCTAAAAGTCATTGGAAGGTGGATGCCTGGTGGGGATTTGAGAGCAGCCACCGCCGTGGCACAAGTGCAGGCTGTGAGGTTGGCAGCCCTGGGTTCTGGCCCTGCCCCTGGCTGGCATCGTCATGAGTTCCTGGCCCGTCCTGCCTTTGTTTTTCTCCCATCTACACTCACCCCTCAGAGGATCTGGGAGACTCAAACACCCTCCTGCTTTCCAAGCGTTTGAAAGATGTTAAGTGCTGCAAGGCATTATGTCAGAGCAAAGTATTAGTCACTGAGTAACATAGTAGACACAGTTGAGATAGATGCAGGGCTGCTGCTCCGTGTCCCCAGGTTCAGCTGCTGGCGAGGCTGATAGACCTTCGGTCACAGCCTGATGGTAAAAGCTCCCATCCCTCTTCTACGGCGTGATGCAGGGGAAAGCAGTAACTTGTTAAATGCCACGTAAACAATTACGCAGACTGATGTTGTCTTTCTGACTCTGGCCCCCAGGTTCTTATGGGAACATTTACGAAAGCAGCTTGCTGCGACCTGGACAGTGCTCTCTTTCCCAGGGGAACCTCTCTATGTCTTCTCCTCGGTGGCAAAGCAGCTCCTCCGAATTGGACAACGGCAGACAGGTCATGCGACGGAGCCAGACGACTGCTGCCATTCCCGAGTGTCAGCTCCATCCCGCAGCGCCTCGAGTGTGCAGTAACACACAAACAGAAGTCAGCAGTAGGAGTTCAGACCTGTCGCGCTCAAAGTCGGAGCGGCACTTGACTTTAAGCAGTGTGGAGGACCTCAGTGAGCATGACTTGAACACAGGTTGTTCACAAAGCACAGCCAAGCCCTCCTACAGAAAAGAGAGGCCACCACCCCCATACCCAGGCCCAGCAAAAACAAGCTCTGCGTTGTTGCAGCGATCGAGCGTTTCTTCAACGTTGCACTCTTTGTGGAGACATCAGCGCCAAGAAAAAAGTTCAGGGACCAGAGCAGCTGGAGGACCGCCAGCCAAAGGCCCTGACCAGGTCACCTCCAGGCAGGAGCGGCCGGCCCCGTGCACCCAAGCGGGTCACATCTATTCCACAGCACCTCACAGTCAGAACAGTAAAAATGTTTCAGAGGTGGACTGGCATGATTGGCAAAGGGAGAGGTGCCAAATTTGGGAGCTTTTATCAGCTGACAACCCAGACGCCCTCCCGGAAACCCTTGTATGATCGGACTCTGCAGAACTGCCACCCTTACCTATGCCTCCGTCTCATAGGAAAACAACAGTGACATTGGAAAACAGGGATGGCTTGTTTGTTTTATACCATCTGAATTGCTTATACTTTTTTTTTTAAACTTTGTTCACTTTAATTTCTTAACAGCACTGTCAAGCAGTCCATTTACAGATACAGTATGTTCCTGTTTTTCAGCAAGCTTTTGAGGAAAAAACAAGGTGAAAATTTTAGTCCAGTAACTCTGTATGCATATGCTGTGTATAAGATAAAACTGTGGCTTTGATATTGCTAAAAATGTATTTATATATCTGCAGTTTTGATGATTGTATATTCTGTAATGGGTATTGTATGATAATCATATATTATGTTTTCATATACAGATGTCAATCAATCATGACTGCTTTTTTTAAAATCACTGCACTTACATTACCGTGATATGCATTGGAATTCTATAGAAAGTGCACAAGCTGGTTTCTGTGCTTATATAAAAAAACCTGTTAAAGGGGGAAGTTGTCCTTCTTTTCACTGCCTATTGAAAAACACTAAGATAGAGCGGAACATGAAAAGCCATATATTTTATAAGGGTTGTAGTGAGCTTAGAGGGGAAAATACCAAATATTTTTTTCTTATAAATATATTTGCAAACAAAATTAAAATTTGATACAAGATTGTAAGAATATTTTTTTAGATTCCGGTAGGAAGCAGCTCAGAGAATCAACTAAGAGCAAGGCCGTGCCTAAACCAACTGAGGATGCAGTGCAAAGGTCTGCCCTCCCATTCTAGAAGAAACCCAATGTTATGTATACAGGAGATAATATATATATTTATAAATGTATGATTTTATGTGTTGTTCTGAAGCAATAAACTGGAATCCAAATTTTAGAAAACGAAACCCAATAAATTGAGGTGTGTAACAACTGAGAAAGAATATGGCTTTTCCTTTGAGATAACAAAGCTTCAGCATTAGGAAAGAGACAGTAAAAAGAAAAACGCAGACAGACAGACAAACGAAAGGGAGTCACACGGAATTTCAGAAATGAACATGATGTTTGGAGACATTCACAGCTGTATTCCTATAAATATTGTGCCAAAGTCTGGGTCAACAGTACTTCTGCAATAACTGTATGTTGCATCGTTAAATGTTGCTGTTTTATACACGTTCTGGTGTTTTTAAATTGCAAAATTGTATATGGCCAGCAGGTGGCAATGTACTTCAGTATTCTAGAGAGAATTCTTTTTATCACTTGATAAGGGAAAGTGTATCATATCAAAAGAATTTTATAAAACGTATTAGTCTTAATCTTAATGAAGTTGAAGACCTATTCAGTGATGTTGTCTTTCAGTTCTATCTTGTGCCATAATGACGGAATAAAAAACTAAGCAAAATAACGAGCATATTTTTTGCTCCTTTTTTTGAAGCAAGGTTTATGTACAAGTCGGTGTGGTTTTATTATGTTCTTGAGTATCTCTGTCAAAAACGTCTAAAAGGCTTTAGGAGCTTATGGACCACTTTCACATATGACTTAAATATGCAAGATCCAAGGTTTTACTTGAGTTTTACGCTTAAAATCCATCATATAAAGAGCCTGCCCATCATGTCTCCGTTTTCGTAAGTGGAGTTATAAGATAAAAGCACCAACCTGAGTAGAAAGGGGCGGGATTTGGCCTTTGACTGTCGTAGCACTGTCAGGCTGGCCAGCTCGTTTTATGAATACTGCCTTGAGAATAAATCTCAGCTCTGTTCTTCTGGCGGTCGTAAGGATTTTCCAAATACAGTCGTGATACGACACTTGATAGGAAAAAGTTTCTCACAAGTAACTTGTTGCAGCACCTCTGTGTCAATTCCTTACCCCAAAAAAACCCACCCCAAATTAAAAAGATAGCGGTAGATAAGCAAGGATGAAAAAGGGCTCTCGCAAGCGATCTTCACTATTTGATCTTGTCTCAATGTTATCCAAGGCATGATGCAGATTTGCCACGGGGAATTAAAGCTCCTCAAAACCAGCCATAGTGTAAATCCTGCTGCAGAAGGTACTCTATTCAGTTAGATGCCCATCTCTTCGTTTTAAACCCCTTTCTAAATATAGAAGCACCTGCACATTTTTAACATTTTCAGTGAAAGATGTCTAGTGATTACTCGGCCTCATAAAGAGCTTGCTTTTCGCCAGTACCTCTCTGCGTGTGTGTGTCTATATATGTGTATATTGCCACCTACACGGAGTTTGTGCAAAAACGGAGAACAAAAACCAAGACCACTGCTGGAGGACAACCTTGTCTGCACACGTCGATATACAGTTGCTTGGAAGAAAACAGATACAGAATAACTTCCAGTGAATTAAAAATAACACTTGCCAAGATGACATCATTTCTGTCTGTTGTTTTCATACAGGACAGAGCAAAATAATCACGAGCAGGTTAAGGACGCAGTAATTTTTAGTTGTATCTCTTACACATGTATCTAAGGTCCAGCACTTCCCTGTTCTCACAATGAGGTTATTCTGCAGGATTCTTCAGATTATGCTGTAAAATTATTCCTCCTTCTGTAACATAGGAGGAGTAGACAGATGTGTGAAATAGCAGTCCTGCATCCAAAGTAAAGTTTGGAGCCTGTGCAGTAGGGGTGATGTGTAAGGCCCTCTTACCCTGAGCAGGGCCAGAGGCTGGTGGAGTGGTTGAGTCTGAAATAAGAAGATTTTTATAGCCAAGGTGCAGCGTAGGGAGTAGGAAAGGGGAACTGGGGAAGACCTCACTTGTTTCTGGCAAAAGGCTGCAGTGACACGTAAACATATGTCAACATCCTGAAGACAAAACAGGTTGCAATGAAGTGTTGACGGTAGACCTAGCCTTAGTAAATACTGTATTTTCTTTAAATTCTTCTTTTATTTGATAAAAATAATTAGAAAAACATTATTTTATTGGCCAGTTTCAGGACAAAGAAGGCCCATAGTCCAAGGCAAAAGTCTGTAATTCAGAGCTCCACAGATTTATCGCAAAATCTGGAATTATTTTAACTCTTTAGGCACTTGTTTTATCCAGCTGTAAACTTGCCGTGAGGGAAGCTGGGCATCATCATGTGCTCCTGTGCCTGCCTTGCTGTTACAGAGCTGGAAGCTCATAGCGACGAACTTCTTGTTGACTGTCCCACCCCACCTGGGAGAAGGGGCTGATGCTCAGCAGTGCTGTGGCTGAGGGCAGGTGTGTGTTTGTCCAAGGACCTGCCACCTCCCCGGCTCAGCTCCCACCTGTCCCTGGCTGCCAGAGCCCCGCTGCAGCCCGTTCCCCCTTCACAGCCCGTGCCCTGCCTGTGTGTCCACATCAGCGCCGGTGTCAAGATACAGAGAGAAAACTAAAAATAACACAAGGTGATGGGAGGGCAAAGCACCAAACAACCAGGAAAACTGAGAGCATGGGCAGTTGTTGTGGGTGGTGCAGCGTTAGCAAGGGGGCAGGTACTCTCGCTGAAGTGTTAGACACTCGTCTTGCCAGGCTGAAATCGGAGACATAATTTCTTTTTGTGTCTTTTTTATATTTCACAAGAAATGTAGCCACGAAAGGTTGTTTCTAGCTTTATGTTATCTGATAGATCTGTGGGGGCTATTTTCATTTTATATCTCTGCAACATTTTTCTTCTATGGCGCTTGCTCTTATACAGCAATAATATTCCTCTGATGAGGAAAGTCCGGAGAGTGGGGCTGTCAAAGCCTTTTCTCCCTTGGGAGCAGGATTCTTATCGTAGCAAAAAGGTTATGAGCCTCTGCTTTAGTGTGGAATGTGGTAGAGAAGGTCTCCTCCGGAGGTCCCGAGGCCTCAGGGCAAACTCCAGCAATTCAGTTCCCTCCCATCGTTTCCTATCACACCACACTGGTTCCTACCTAGGATGGAAAAAAAACCACCCCTTTCCCTCGACATTCTGGATTACCTCCTCTCAGGGGGTGTCTCCCAGGTGGGAGGAAGGGTGTGCTGCACTCACAGGGGAGCCCTGGGGAGGAGACGTGGGTGCCCCACGGACGAGGTGCCTGCGGGTTGCCCTTGGGGCGGGAGTTGCTCTTCCCTCTTCTATTGCAGAAACAAAAAAATGAGAGGAATCAGTGCAGCTCTAGATACAAGGCAAATGTGGTGGGGATCCTCTGAGCCAAGGGAAAAAAGGAAAAGCCCAGACTTTAAAATATTACTTTAAAAATGCCGTTGCTGCTGTCTTTCAAAACACGATGTGGTTACACAGTTGACTTGCCCATTCCAAGACCATGCTCCACTGCTAAGGGGTAAGTTGCACCTTCTCCCTCTTCCCCGGCCTCCTATCCCGTCCCTTACACTAGCTCTTGGAGTGGTGGGAGGACTCCCAGGACTTGCTCTGGCTGAAACTTACCCTCTACAATGAACACACACAATTCAGGTAGCTCAGTGGCTTTCACAAGTGGTAGGCACAGGGAAGGAGAGGGACAGGGCCAGAGATGGGAGAGAGGAGGAGGGTGGGACTGGCCACCCCTTTGGGCAGCAGCCTCCAGGTAGCCCTGTTTAAGCTACTCATGCAACTGCAGAGTTTGCTGCTTCAATGTGCAGGCAAGAGCCTGGCCAAGCACTTGAGCGTGGCTCTGTGTTACAAACCCAAGTCAATCCAACTGCTGATTCGGGTGCTTGAAAGCTCTCAAGTGCTCTGCTGCCTGCACCAGGAGCCTGGGCTGCTCCCATGGCAAAGATTCATGCCACTGAAGAATGTCTCTGTGGGTGAAATGACATGGTTCAATGGGCTGGAATTTGTGGTTGCATAGTCTGGAGGGTTTTCTTCTGGTTTTGTGACTGGTTTTGTTGTTCCACAGGCATTGGTTGAGGTAAAAAACCTCGATTCTAGCCTTTCTGAAGCACTATCTTGTTCTGCGGTGCTGGTCTGGCAGAGCGTCAGAGACTTTTTCTCCTCTGGGAAACACACAGGATGTCTGAGCCTCACCTTGCTCCCTCTCTCTGTCTCTCTCTTCCCCTTCTCTTTGCATTCATTC